ATCGAGTTATCCATTCATACTACTTACTCATAGTGCTCTCTTTCTCTCTCTCCCTTTCTCTCTATCTCTCTCTGTGTCTCTCTGTCTCACTCTCTACCTCTCTCCCTTTCTCTCTCTCTCTCTCTCTCTCTGTCTCTCTCTCTCTCTCTCTCTCACACACACACTTGTGTCAATTACTTTTGCTGATTATTGGAGCCAAGGAGTGATAATGTCCCCCACTCTCTCACTTTATCATGTTTCCCCAGCAAATTACTCTGGCTCTAAGACCTGTGATCTTTGTAAATAAACATTTATTGTGGTATTCCTCAGCTATTCAAATCCTAAGTATCTGACTCTCTTTGGGAGCAACATATACACATTGCAGATCAGCTATAAGAACCAACAAACAGGAAACCTTTTTGCAGCCTTTCTTCCCTGGGGTAAATATGCACATGAGCTTCCACTTTAAATAACAGACAGAAATACAAATGATTTGGGGAAAGTAAGAAAAATCTGCTCAAGTCAGGCCATGTTTGCTTCAAACAGAAGCTTCCGTCTCATGCCTTCCTAGGATAAAGACCTAGACCAGGCACAATTCATTTTGTGGTAGCAACACAGGGGTGTGGACATAGAGAAAACTCCAAGACAGTAACTCTGAACATTATTGTAATATATCTTTACCTTTCTTCCATTCTCTGGTCTGGAGATGGAGAGCTGTCAAACGTTGAAGAAGACCCCTTCATAGATTGAATCTTGAGTCAGCTTCCTTGAGTTGGGTTTTGTCTTCAGAAGCTGAGTAAGTTTCTGGTCCAGGTGAAGCTTATAAAAATGTTGAGCTGACCTTGTGATTTCCTGTAAATATACTAGGAACAAGTCACACACAAGAGATGTTTGAATTCAGATGCCCACTAAGATGCTTCTTGGCATCTGTCCCAATTATACTCATATCAACCTCTCCCATCCCATCCTTTTAGGTCTACTTGTCGCCAAATAATTACTCTTTCCTCTTTTATGGATGAAGTCCCATCACAGGTAGCAACATGATGTAGTTTCCACTTGAGTTTTAAGAGTATGTAACTAAAACACAAGCATATCAGCCTTTCCCTTTCCAGGGTGACTAGCCCACATTTCTTGTAAATAATAGAAATTGTTGGTCAGTGGGGTTCGATAGGCTTCCATACCACGAGCACTACAAGCTTTTGGCAATGTGCTTGATCACTCTCTATAATGTGATGCTAAAACTCTATTGATGATGACACCACATACTTGGGTCACAGAGCATGAAGAAATCAAGCTGGTTTATTCTGGCTTGGAGGGTGAAGGGATCTATCCTACCATGGTGGTGGAGGCAGGAGTGGGAGGCTTGCTGATGACACTCAACTGGCAATTTGGAACCAGAGAGTGAACAGGAAGGGAGGCACCCCCGCAATGACTAACTGCTGTCAGTAAGGCGTCACCTGCTGAAAGTGTTGCAACCTTTTTGTCTGCCACTCTGGCTCAGACCATGTGTTCAAATTACATAGCCCGTGGGACACTTCACATCGAAAATACCACACTCCTTCATACTGATGCCTGATTGTCTCTTAGGAAATGTTCCCATTTCACCCCAGCACAGAAGAAAGTGGGGTAGTTGATGCCGGTCCTTTTCCAAGCTTCAGTTTCCCAAATCCCAGGAAGTAAAATGAATGCACTTTGTCACTTTGTCTGAGCTTGCGGTTTTCTTATAGAAACTTGCCTGCCTGGCCCCAGAGTCAGTCTCTCTCTCTCCCTCTCTGTCTCTTTGTCTCTCTGTCTCTCTCTCTGTCTCTGTCTCTCTGTCTCTGACCCTCTGTCCATGTCTCTATTTCTCTGACTCTTTGTCTCTGCCTCTCTTTTTCTCTTTCTCTCTGTCTCTCTGTTTCTGTCTCTCTGTCTCTGTCTCTGTCTCTGTCTCTCTCTCTCTCTCTCTCTCTCTCTCTCTCTGTCTCTCTCTCATTGTGTGTATGTATGGTAAGAGGAGTCTCCCTACAAAGACTATCCTTTAACGCAATATGTTTCCCAATAACTTCAAAATCGTGGAGATTCTTTGTATAAGTCTCCTGTGTGCTAGGATATTAGATGAATACTACTATGAATGGCTTACAGAAGCTTTATTTTTTCATCTACCTTCCTCTATCCTCTTCATAAAATTGGATTTAAGGTCATTTTCTTATGCTTCAGCTGTGTTGGAATAGTCAGGGCTGGCTTTATTAGGATAATTGGGTTGTGGTGGTGACATATTACCCTGGCTGTTGTTGTGTTCTTACACTGGCATCTTGGATTCTGAATTTTGGGTACTTATGTGTTTAGATGCCAACTTCTTATTTTGTTGTTATTGAATGGGTATTTTCCCTTAGTTTCTGTTTACCCTGTAGTCTTCTGGCCTAGGTAGACAGTGGTTCTGGTGGCTGGAATGCCCTCTGGTCTAGTGGGGTGCCTCTGCTGAGGTTCTGGTGGCTTGGGTGACCTCTAGGGTCCTGAGTGCTGGCTTTGCCTGTGTGAAGGGGGCATCTACTGGAGTTGAGGGCAAGGAAATGATGATGATGAGGGATTTTGGGGATAGGATGGGTGGTCTCTGTGGGAGTGTTGGTGATCTGCTGGTGGGGGCTTACTTGAGGTTCTGGGTATCAGTGTGGCCTCTGGTAAAGCAGGGTCTTCCACCAAAGTTGTTGGTTGGGGTATATGATTTATGAAAGTTTTAAATAAACATTAATATGCTGTTTGATAAATGACATAATTCTGAAGTATAATGTGTGTTGTGATTTCAGGAAAATGAAATTCTATTTTGGCATTGATCCATTCTCAAAGTATTTTCAACAAAGTCCCTTGGAACCTGCCATAAGGAAACAGATAAATAGACAGGGAGGTTATGGGAATGGGAAGGGATATATCTGAGATGCTAATGGAAGAAATATGAAAGGATCATAAAGCAAAGGGTTCTACCTTACACCACCATTATGCAGGGTGCATATTTATCTTCTAATTCAACTGAAGTTCACACTTTCAAAAGTTGGAAATAATGAAAGCTTTTCATTTCATGATGGGATCAATTCTGCGAAATGAAGGTATAGAACAGGTCTGAAATCAAATGGTTCAGTTTATTTATTCACTAATGTACTTTCTCAATAACAGTTACTGGGATAAAACAGGACTCTGAAGTCTGATAGTATTAAAATGCACTGATTTGCATGCCTATGGTAAAATTTAGTTTATTCAAGGGACATAAATAAAATAGATATTTTTAAAATCAATAAACATGCAATATGTGCTGGGAAGATATCCCAGTGGCTTAATTTCCTGATAAATTAAGGAAGTCTGAAAATCTATGTTGGAATTGCTAGAACCCACATAAGGTCTGGCTAAATAGTGTGTTCATCTGTAACCCCTGCATTTTCATGGCTGGATGGGAGATAGAGACATGAAAGTCCCCAGGAGCTCATACTGGCTCATCTGACATGAACAGTGACTAAAGGGATCTAAATTGAAATAAGTAGGGAGGTGAGGACAAATATCCAGGGTTTGGTATTTCCATAGGCCCTGTCTCACCTTGCTGAGGCATGCACATACTCATGGAAGAACACACACACACACACACACACACACACACACACAGACAAACACACACAATCACACATATACACAACTCTCTCTTGCTCTCTCTGTATTTCTCCGTGTCCCTCTCTCACACACACACATGTGCATGCACAGACACATGAAAGTTCATTAACCCAAGAATTTCATCTTTTCTGAAGTGACAGTTCTTATCCTTGTCACTTGAAGCCTAGAAGTAAAACTGTGATTCAGTGTGCTATTCCATAAAAATTCCCCATGCATTTCCATTTTCCCTTAACACTGTCCATCTTTATGAATCATCCCTTCCTGACTTAACTCTTCAATGCCTCCAATTTGAACCAATCTTCTTTGCTTGAATTCTAATTCCAAACAGTCCAACGACGTGGGATGGATGTCTGACATCAGTGAAATGAAATGTGACCACCTGCTTCAAACAAGTGGCCTCAGATAGCTGGGGCCATTTTTATTTTTACAATTTCAGTGGTTTGAATGAACATTTTTCGAATCAAATTTGTTACCTTAAGTTTCTAATAATGGTTACAATAATTGCCAGTTTGTTCCTTTACCTCATTTCTCTTCAGTCCCCCAGATTTCCCACCAGAAATCACTACCTAGTTGATTCATTGCTTCAACATTAGTAGCATAAGCAGTGTTTCAAGCATAAAAGAAAGTTTACTAACTTGGCTCACCTACAGATTGAACAATGTGCCCATTTGGCAGCATTTGTGCTTATAGACTCATGCAAAGTGAAACAGAATTTTGACTCTAGAGGTTAATGTTTACCTCTAATCAAATCTAAACTTTCACAATCAGCTCATCAGCCAAGGCAGAATCAAGTCATGTTTCATTCTATGCTACTCTATCTCCTACAGGGGTTATACCAGGTTTTCCCTATCATCCTGTAAGCGCGATAACTAACAATCTTACTCATAATAGTAGGCACTGCTTATCCCTTGTTCTTCTGTCTTTCTCCTCTCATCTTCCTTTGGTTTGGGCACAACTATTAGAAATGAGGACATTGTGGATTCCCATTTTCTGCTTCACTCCATGTTCCTACACTGTTTCCAGTAACATCTTACATCACCTCCTATTAACATTTGTCCTAGGCTTTGTGTCTAATATCATTCTCTCCAGAATATTTATGAAAATCTGTAAAGTCAATAAACTACTGTGACTCTTTCAGATTAGTCACAAGATGTATTGTGTAGGAGTCAATGCCACAATGCTACCCGCCCAACAGGGTGGGGTCAAGGTAGAGATAAAAGGTAGTGAAAGGAAAAGGGGCTCTCTCTCTTTTCTCCTGGAAGCCAGCCATGCTTCTAACTCCTGGTATGTGCGACTCTCTCTCTCCCTGATAAATAAATATATTGCTTTTCCCTATATAGCCTCGAGTATCATTATACCTGGTGGCAGAAGTGGTTTGGAATTACAGCCCATGCCTTAGTGGCGGGAAACTGCCTGAAATCGGCATCCCGAGGTGAGTGCTAATCGGCATTCCAGCTGTCGCTGCAGCAGCTACATTGTGTGCACTCTCTCCTGCCACTGCATTGCACTCGCTCGCTTCTATTTCTCCCGAATTCCATTTCTCACGTCTTCTGCTGCCCACTCCGCCACCCGTGCCTTTTCGCAGTAGCTGCTGCCGCCACAGCAGCGGCCTCCGCTGTGTCTGGAGCTGCTGTGTCCGGAGCTGCTGCAGTTCGCCCCCCGCACGTGCCTGCCGCGGCCCCGCCGCTGCGAGAGAGGAGCCGGCGAGCCTCGGCAACACACCGCGACCCCTCCGCCGCAGCGCGGCACCCCGGCCATCTTCTGCCCGCCCTCCACCCCTGCCACCCACCCGATTCCCTGGCCCAATTAGTTCTGCCGTGCACTGCATTAGCAGCTACCAGAGCCACTGCAAGCTCCACTGCTGTGCGGCGAATCTGCCTTCCCAAATCTGCCCATTAAGTTTTCACAGGTTCCTTGGGATCATCCGATTTTCCGCGGAGAGGTAGCGTTTGGCAGTACACCTCCACCATCTGCTGGCCAAGCACGGTAACTACAGGTTTTTTAATTTGAGATAATAAAGGAGGTGAATTTTTCCAATTTAGGAATCACCGATTGATGGTAAGAACATCTAATTATAACATGGCAGGTAATTTAACACTGCAGGATTTTGGAGATTTCATTACCAATGTGATGGATTATGTGGTAAAAGACAATTATGATATTTTTCATACGTATATGTGTGCCATGCTTGTGATTAGTGTATTAATACATATAATCACTTGGAAGAAACATGAGCTTATGTTTCAGAAATTAGAGTCAAAAATTCAGGAAAAAGGTGATTTAGTTACCAAAACAGATAATTTGGAATTTGATCAGAACAATGTCTACTGCCTTTATGGTTACAACTGAATCTACCCAGGTGGAACTTTCCAATTTAGTGGAGTCAATTAAAAAATTAGAGTCAAAAATTCAGGAACAAGTGGATTTGGCTACATTTAATTCAATGTCCGCTACATTTATGGTTAAGACTGACTCTAACCAGGTGGAACTTTCCAATTTAGCAGAGTCAATTCAAAAATTTGAGTTGAAAATTCAGGAACAAGTGGATTTGCTTACGTTTAATTCAATGTCTACTTCATTTATGGTTAAGACTGAGTCTAATCAGGTGGAACTTTCCAAATTATCAGAGTCAATTCAAAAGTTAGAGTTAAAAATTCAGGAACAAGGGGATTTGGTTAAATTTGACCAGGACAACCTTCGAGACATATTCAATTTGATGTCCACTACATTTATGGCTAAGATTGAATCTAACCAGGAGGAATTTTCAAAATCAGCAGGGTCGATTCAATCTATGTCTGATAATAATGGCAATCTAGCAGATCGAATGTGTTTTCTGGAAGGAAAAATAGATGCCTTTGGAGTTTTTAGGGAGGATGGTATGAAAAGCTTGGAATCTCGTTTAACTGAACAATCCAAAGAGTTAAAACAATCTTTAATGCTGAAAATCCAAGACCTTAATGAACAATCTGAGGACTTGGGACAAATTTTAATGGAGGAAATAGAAGACCTCAATGAACAGTCCAAGGAATTGGAACAATTTTTAATGCAGGAAATACGAGACTTAAAGAATGACATGGTTGCAAAATTTCAATCTTTAGAAGATACATCCTCTGAAATATCAGAAGTTGAGTCGATGGATGCTAGGCCACTAGGAAATAAAGGAAATACGGCTACTAGACATCCTAAGGTGGCCTTTCCAGTAACTGTAGTAGAAAGGTCATCATCACGGAGGCACCAATCCGGTTCCACTACACAGAAATGGGAACCTATTCCCATGTAAGAGATGAAATCCATTAAAAATGCGATAATGACTTTTGGGGTCCACAGCCCTTATGTAAAACAGTTACTAAGTACATGGGCTACGACCAATAAGATAACTCCCTCAGATTGGAATGATTTAATATCTGCAGTGTTGGACCAGTCTTCTCAAATACAGTGGAAAGCTTTGTGGAGACAGGAAGCCAAGGCCCTTGACTTCAAGGTTTGAGGGATGGATTTGATGCTTCTGAAAGTAAGATTATGGGGGAGAAGCAATTTTCTGACCCGCAGGTCCAAGCTGGTTATGATGAGCGTACATTTGATTTATGCAAAACAGCAGCACTAAATGCTTTGGATAAGGTTCGTGAACCAGGGGAAAGAGTTGAAGCATATTCAAAAGTGATACAGGGTCCGAGAGAAAGATTCTCTGAATTCTTACAAAGATTATCCAGAGCAGTAGATTTACAAATAACTGATCCTAATATTAGGCGACTTCTTACAGAATCGTTGGCTTATGAGAATGCAAACCCACATTAAAAACAGATACTGTGGCCATTAAAGGTATGATCAGCACCATTGGAGGAATGGGTCTTATATACAACTAATGTTGAGTATGACAATCCAGAGGCAGGAACTTGGATGGGAGAAGCCATTTCTAAAGGATTTAGGAGGAATCAGGATGAAATATGGCCTACCCAAGAGGAGATACCAAATTGGGTTGGGGAAGCAATCTCTAGAAGTTTCAAAAGACATCAAAACTTTAGATGTTTTAATTGTGGTAAAATGGGACATCTGGGTAGGAACTGTAGACAACGCATTCCTAGGAATAATGCTTTTACCATGAATGTGTCAAACAGAAGGCCTCAACCTCCTGGTCGCTGCAGGAAGTGTGGAAAAGGCCGGCATTGGACAAATGAATGCAAATCCACAACAGATAGACAAGGTAGATCTTTAAAGCCAAAAAACGGAACTCAGGGGCTCAACCGAGCCCCAAAAAGAGAGATTATCCGGTCATTCCCAGTGACAGTGGAGGACAGCCTCTCCCAGGACAATTAGAAGATCCACTGCCCATTGTAAATAATATGGCACTGGACAATACCTTAGCTCCAGAGGATGAATCAATTACATCAGGAGGAGATACAAAACATATATTTTGGCAAACTTCTATACAATATCATAGACCCAAACTACCAGTTAAGGTAAATAATAGGGTGATTTACGGTACTGGACACAGGAAGTGACGTCACTATCCTTAATCATCAGTCCTGGCCACACAACTGGGCTTTAAAAGAGGCTAATGTTCAATTCTTAGGGATTGGAACCCTATCTGAAGTTAAACAGAACATTAGATGGATTGACTTTATTGGGCCAGAAGGACAGAGAGGAAGGTTAAAGCCATACGTTGCAGATATTGCTATAAACCTCTGGGGTCGTGATCTACTCCAGCAATGGAATACACAGATTAACATTCCTCGTGTATCAGCTAGGAATTATAGACAAGCTTTTAGTGGTACAAAGAATATAGTAAGACAGTACAGAAAACAGAAGCCAAATGTACAGGCTGTACAGAAGCAAGATGCTAGTGCCAAACCAACAGAGCAACCAAAAGCTCTACCCTAAAAATGGCTGACAGATGAACCCGTTTGGGTGGGTCAATGGCCTATGACATCTGAGAAGTTAGAGGCTTTGGAGAAGTTAGTTCAGGAACAGTTAGATGCAGGATATATTGAGGAATCAACTAGTGCATGGAATTCACCTGTTTTTGTTGTCAAGAAGAAGTCTGGTAAGTGGAGAATGGTTACTGATCTTAGAGCCATCAACAAGGTAATTCAGCCTATGGCATCTCTACAACCTGGGATGCCATTACCTTCTCTAATTATTAAGGATTGGCCAATTATAGTTATAGACTTAAAAGATTGTTTCTTCACCATACCGTTACAAGAAAACGACAGAGAAAAGTTCGCCTTCACGGTACCTACCTACAATAATTCCCGTCCAGTACAGAGATTCCAGTGGAAGGTACTACCTCAAGGTATGTTAAACAGTCCAACTTTGTGTCAATATTTTGTGAATAAACCTCTAGAAATAATTCGTAAAAAAATTCCACATTCGTTAATATATCATTATATGGATGACATATTATTGTCTGATTCAAATAAGGATACATTGGAAAAGATGTTTGAAGCAGTAAAAGAAACTTTGCCTCGTTGGGGATTACAAATTTCCCCAGAACAAATACAAAGAGGAGATCCTATTAACTATTTAGGTTATAAAATAGATGCTCAGAAAATTACACCTCAGAAAGTACAGATTAGAAGAGATCGTTACCAGAATCTTAATGATCTGCAAAAACTATTAGGAGAAATCTCTCAATTACAGACAATTATCGGTGTAGAAGGGCATGATTTGAAACACTTGAAAATGGCTTTAAAAGGAGATAAAGATCTAAACAGCCCATGAGTACTATCAGCTGAGGCTGAAAAAGAATTAGAATGGGTAGAAAAGAGAATATTAGAAGCACATGTGGACCGTGTGGATCCAAATCTAGACTGTATTCTAGTTATTTTACCATCTAGAGAATACCCCTCAGGAATATTAATGCAGAGGGAAGACATCATACTAGAATGGGTATTTCTGCCACATAAACAGAATAAAAAATTGAAAACATATATAGAAAAGATCTCTGACTTGATATTAAAAGGTAAGTTAAGGCTTCGTCAACTGCCTGGGAAAGATCCAGCTGAAATTATTGTACCTTTAACAAATGATGAAATTTCCTCCTTATGGAAAGATAATGAGTATTGGCAAATAGCTTGCAGTGACTTTTTGGGAACTATTAGTAAAAACTATCCCAAAACAGAGAGAATCAAATTCATAAAGAAAACAATTTGGATTCTTCCACGTATCGTGAGACAAACACCTATTTCTGGAGTTCTTACCTTCTACACGGATGCAAACAAATCAGGTAAGGCAGGGTATAAATCAGGAAATATAAGTAAAGTAGTTCAAAGCCCTTACAACTCCATACAAAAGGCAGAGTTATATGCCATTCTCATGGTACTTAAAGACTTTACAGAGCCTCTTAATATAGTCACGGATTCTCAGTATGCGGAAAGAGTTGCCTTGCATATTGAGACTGCAGAATTTGTTCCTGATAGTACAGAATTAACCTCATTATTTTTACAATTACAGGAAACCATCAGAAACAGGACTCATCCTATATATATAACACACATCAGGTCCCATACAGGTTTGCCAGGTCCTCTGGCACAAGGCAATGATGAAATTGATCGTTTGTTAGTAGGTAATGTGTTGGAAGCTTCAGAATTTCATAAGAAACACCATGTCAACAGCAAAGGCTTAAAGAAGGATTTTTCTATCACCTGTCAACAAGCCAAAGAAATAGTAAAAAATTGCCCCAGTTGCTCCTTCTACAATCAAACTCCATTATCAGCAGGTTGTAATACTAAAGGTATTCATAGAAATGAACTTTGGCAAATGGATGTATTTCACTTCCCAGAATTTGGCAGTTTAAAATATGTACACCATACCATAGACACGTTCTCATGA